TCGCTACTATTTTTATGTTTAGTAGATACTTATCCCGCAGTGGTAAACCCTATATAGGAATATTAATAAACAGCTTTAAGTCATACATTTTATTCAATTCTTCCCTACGCGTTTCCACCCCATCCACCAGTGTTTTCCCTACTGTATTTTATGTAGCGGGGTTAGAGCCTGTCTGCCACTGATTAAAAAATATTTTATGGTCTGAGCTGAGGTGCGCGTATAATGCGGACTCATCCCATACAAAATAAATTTTTGCGATCGAAAGCGTTTTACAAATAAGAAGTGGCAGAAGTGCTGCTTGGCTGTCTGTTAAAATTTACCTTTCAAATGTAACCTTTCAATTCCCAACACTTACGGTTAGAAAATGTCAGCAAAGTTAGATATATCGTCTGTTTGGTACCTAACATATACACACGCAGATACTTAGCGTACGAAGGCAACAGTCGTCCCATTGAAAGAAAGAAGAGAGTCTGAGTTGTAGATATTTGGTTCATTTGGTTGGTAAACAACATCAGTTCCATTGTGCTCTGATTGACAGAAACAAAAGCGACTTTTTGATGCCACGGGTGTAACCTAAACCGTGCTCCCTCTAACATTTCGTTGATAATCGTTGAGGGAAAGAGATCCGACACTGCCACCATCATTTGCATATACGACTACCTTCACTCTTTCATTGGTCAGTTCTACTAGGATGTCGTTCAATGTCGCCACACAGAGCCTCGGTAATAGAACTAGCCCTTGGGGAGGGCCCCTATTTGCATACCAGCATAGTGTTTTGAAATGTTGGTTAATATTATATAGTAACAATATTGCTTAGAATCCGTTCAATCCACCTGAATATAAAAAGTCAGATACGTCAAGCTTGACAAGAAATTGGGTGATTGTTAACGAAGGCTCCAAGGCTGTGCCACTGAGAAGGTCCTTACTCCATAAGGAAAGTCCTTACTTATATCTAAGGCGGAAAGTTTTATGACACAAGCACCCTTGGCTGATTTTATACACGTCACGGCAGCACTGCCCATAAATACCCGCCAAATAATGTTAAATCTTGCATCCCTGGATCTCTACGGAATACGGAAAATTTTGGGACCGGCGGCATTGCGGCCAGGTTAATTACAAGCCAGCCGTGGATTGACCTCAGATTCGGACATGCAAAACTACTTGAAACTCTACCGCATAATCTTCGACAGTTACATTATAACACTCATCTACTCTGTTTATACAAAAAATTCTCCATACGAATCACAGAGAGGAACGAATGGGAAGGGGCCACAGGCTTAAATCCAGGGTCGATGGCTACATGGCTACAGATGGTTTCGAGCTTAACAAAAGAGTGGGTAGCAGGATTTACTCTGAAGAGCTCGGGCTAAACCTCAGATTTCGCTTACCGGAGCATTGTAGTGTTTTTCAAGCAGAGATAAACGCCACAATTTAGGTCACTCGGAGGCTCCCAACCTCCGTCTCTCCCAGACGGCCTATCGCTATTTATTCTGACAGCCAGGCTTTTATCAAATGTCTCAAATCTATGGGCACAACATACAAAGTAGCCATAGAATGTAGGAAGACTCTAAACCTGCTGGCATCAAAATGCTCCTTGACTGTTGTATGCTTCCCTGGACACTGGAACAATCATGGCAACTGCTTAGCCTACGAGGGGGCAAAAAGGGGGACGGAAGTCAATACTGCTCAAAATGCGTGCATACTTTTAATCTCCTGCAAACATACTAAAGGTGGAAAGTCATCGCGGCCAAAGTTTGTTGTAAAGCGTAGCTCTCACTCGGCTAATCTGCTTTTCTGCCTTATGGGCACACATAAAAAAGAATTAGAATACTCCACCAACGGTTTTTGTCGCAGCTGCAGAGACGAAGTAGAGGTGGATAGCATCGCATATTATCTTTGCCACTGTCCCGCCCTGGCCACCAACACGAGCACCCGATTCTTCAACAAGTACTTTCTAGATTGTTTAGCTGAACTGAACACGGCGAACATTCTCGACTTTTGTGCTATATAAAACGCACTCGATGGTTCAATTACTAAGGGAAGGAAATAAACAAATGGCTACGGCCAGTGGTATGGCAACGGGCACTTCCAGCCTACGTGGTCAAACATATTCTTTGTTTGACCCAAATATTAACAAAAATCTGCGAAATTTGAGAAAAACATAACATAACATATATAATGGCATCGTTTCTTTATACATTCCGGATAATCCAATTTTACAGCCAGAATAAAGAGAATGCGTTTGAAATATACGTTAACATATCTTCAGGAACGTTCTAAAGAATAAGTAAACAAAAAAGGTTATTCCAAACGTTCAGAATGAATAAAGAAATGCAGCCAATGGCAGTCCTGCATTGCGAGTAATCACTCTCGCGTTATCGATTGCTATTGTTTTCTTATTAAATTCGATCAAACGGATACATGGCGTATGAGCAACCAACTTTGCTGCTCATACCTAATGTGACCAACTATTTCATAGCTCAAAGAAGTACTTTGCTGGTCATACCTAATGTGACCAACTATTTCATAGCTCAAAGAAGTACAGGTTAGATTAGGTTGAGTTAATGCCGCCAGCCGATTACGAAATTTCGAATGCGGCTTATTTCGGTCCCTGAGAGCTCAGCGTTTTGTTCAGATGTGCGAGCCAAAATGCTTCCATCTTAGCCTCGCGAAGGTTGGACAGTCTAAAAGAAAGTGTGGAGATGATTCCACTTCATCTTCCTCTTGACAGCTGATACAAAAGGATCAGTCGAAATTCACACAATGGCCAGTCAGAATCCTCATCACTAGCCCTTGAGAGGTAACGTGTTTTAAAATGTCCTATAAAAACATTTTCTGCAGCAGAAAAACATCTTGACATATGAGTCATACTTCGTACAAAAAAATGTAATTTAACAATCGATTACGAGAAAGTGATTGATTAGTCGCATCGAAGTATGTAGGTAATTCCTTCCCACTGTACTAATAGGTAAGTTGCTCATATGTCATTTAGTTTTTTAGCCTTAAAATTTAAATAGAAAACTCTACTAACAATAACCTAAAATGAAATCGAAAAAGCGCAGTATTTAATTAAAAATTATTTATATTTTTTATTTTTGTATCTTCATAAAATGTATAATTTTACTAAATTTTGCTGGTAAATTTACTTTCTTCAATTTACGTTTAAATTTTTGCTCTTAAAAACCATAAAATATTGGTGTATGAAAACGGAGAGTTACGAGTATTTTTGAGACTTTTTCCGGAACGTTTGTTACAGAACTTCAATTTCATTCGAATTTAAAAATTGGAGTTACCACTTCTACTACCCGATTTACAAACGTAGCTCGAGTTACAGAAACCGCAACTTATACAAGTTCGATTTATAGAAGTTAGGCTGTACTTTCACTAACTTGAACAGTATTCCTTTTACTCTTGGCAGAAATCTCCAATACAAGAACTTTACAAGTCCAAAATTTTTAAAGCTAACCTTATTAATTGTATATTTCTATGTCATGTTTAATTTCTTGCAAAATACTTACTAAATCTCTAGAATGAAATCCCTTTTTAATTTTTACCACTCGCACATGCCTCATTTGCACAGACCACTGCTCAAACAAATCAAAAACTCCGCCGAAGCGCACATCGTACTCGACTGTTCCACCGATAAAATTTACGAAGTACTCAAGCAAGCTCAACAGATTGGCATGATGAGCGATTACCATAGCTATCTCATTACTTCACTCGACCTGCATACCATCAACGTAGACGAATTCCGTTATGGTGGCACGAATATAACCGGATTTCGTCTGATTAACGAAAAAGTCGTCTCGGATGTGGTACGTCAGTGGAGTTTTGATGATAAAGGTTTACAACGCTCAGCTAATTTGAGTACGGTGAGGGCGGAGACAGCGCTCATGTATGATGCAGTACATCTATTCTCTAAAGCGCTGCATGATTTGGATACATCACAGCAAATAGACATACATCCCATTAGTTGTGATGGACAGAATACCTGGCAGCATGG